AGTTGAATTACTGAAATAAATGAACTTTTCCACGACATTCTAATTTATTGAGATGCACCTGTATATATAGTCGGATGGATAGATAGATAAATAGAAATAGTCAGATAGATAGATAGAACGATAGATAGATCAAATCAAACTGTCTGGTCCGGCTTTCTCAAGCCAAATTAAAGTTTGTCTTGACAAACTTTTTTTATCTAGTTATTTATATTGTCTTTTAAATATCTGCTGAATATACTGACAAGCATTTATGGAACTTTCTAATCTGTCATTTCTACTCACAATTGCATGTCATATTTAAATATATTTGCAATTACACATTTTTAATGGTGAATTTGCAATTAAGTGCATTAAATTACATATTTAAACTACAATTAAAATTATAAGCAAGTATTTTACATGTTCTTTAGTAGTCAACATTAAAACAAGTGTACATTTTGAAAAGCATGACAAAATAATACAAGATTTAAAATGTACTTTAAAGTAAATCTTAATTTGAAATTATTACAATGTGCGCTTTTTAAAAGTGTACTTACTGTAATAATACAGTAGACTATGTTAATGACTGTGTTTCTTACCGTAAGTGGCCTTCATTAATATTATCTGCAAGAACAGTTTTTTTTACAAGTGCATGTTTAATACTTTTTTCATAAGGGTTACTATGAGTCTCAACACGAACTTCTACAGTTTTATCTTCTGCGGTTCAATCTGTCAGTCATTTCTAGAAAGCGTCTCTCTATCCTTGCTTGCCCTTCTGTAAAACCGCAGTAAAGCTGCAGCATTCAGCGCGGTGTTGTTGATATCATGTGGTTACGCTCAACCCTGTCAACGACGTCTACCTCTTCAAAATGATATTCCCAAACACTATGACAGTGCGATCTCTGTGTGAGATATGTGATTGTTGTCATATTTCTATAAAAATCTAAAATATGTTTGTATTAAAGTAAGAATGGATGATAAATACGCCTTTCGTATGGAATTAAATAGCAAGCACTTTGAGTGTCTTGTTCATCATATTTATTTTTATATAAAGGCAACACAACTGAAGTCATATCATGTTAATCAGCAGCACAGCATGTGAGTGTGAATTACGCGATATCTGCCTTTGATCTCGTAGGTAACAGGTAACGTAGGTAACAGAAACAGTGAAATATATTAATAAAAACAGTTTTATTGAGAATTTGGCTGCATTAAAATGCAGTACGTGAGCACAGGGAGGCAAGACAATACGACGTACTGACGTCATTAATATGCTAATTAGCGTATGACGTCATTTAGCGACTTTTCAGGCAGGGTTTAGCTACTTTCCATTGAAAGAAGTTGGCAACACTGTTTATCAGCTCGGATCAGCGCAGAGCAAACAAACTTCTCCGTGCTCAGAACAGGTTTACTCAGGAAGCAGTGTTGATTTTGCGACACTGTTACTGCACAGTGTGTGAGATCCAGTGAGAAGCACTTGAATTTGCTGCAGAATGAATAAAGGTTGCTGTGAGCTCTAGTGAGAAGCATTCAAATTCTACACAGAAATCTGTTATAAACAGGTCAAACAGGGCTGACATATAACCAGAAGTAGTAACGCTAACTATAACCATGGTGTTGTGGAAGAAATATTTTCATTACATTATGCATTTCAGGGGTTGGACAACCTTTTGAGAGAGAAATTCAAGCACTTTTAAGTATTTCAAACATACTGAAATAGAAAAGCATATATTTGATCATAAATAAAAACAGTAATGTTGTGAAATATTATTATTATTTAAAATAACTGTTTTCTATGTGAATATATTGTAAAATGTAATTTATTCTTGTTTTCACAAAGCATGATTTCTGAAGGATCATGTGACACTGAAGACAGGCGTAATGATGCTGAAAATTCAGCTTTTTTCACTTTTTAAAACATACTGAAATAGAAAATAGTTATAAAAAATGGTAATTTCACAATATTACTGTTTTACTGTATTTTAATCAAATAAATGCAGCAGTGGTGAGCATAAAAGACTTCTTTCAAACACATGACAAATCTGACCCTTAAACTTTAGGTAGTGTATGTTTGAGGTATTACTTACTAGTCATATGCTTCATAATGTCTAGATATGTTCTTCGACAGGAGATACGCTCTAGTCTAGTGCACGGCCGTCAGCATGGAAGAATCTAGCAACATAAACAATCTGTCACAGAGTCAACAATATTTATTATACAATGCCATTGCCAGGTTTATTATAAATAAACTTTAGCGGAGGCGAAATCCAGAAAATTAAAATAATAATTTACAGAATATAGCGAAATCCAGAAAATTAAAATAATAATTTACAGAATATACAAAAAAGGATTTAATAACAGAATGTACATTTTTAGGTTTACTTATTTAGTAATGCTCTTACAGTGTTACTTATGTTTGGACATCAAAGCCCTTTTAAAATAACTAACAAGCAAACACACGCACATATATATATATATATATATATATATATAATTTTGCAAAAGAAAATTACAGATGCATGGTGATAACGGCGAAATATGTTATGAAAGATGCATATAAAGTTATTTAATAAGCTTTCTCAGATCACCTGTGTTTCTGTATCTCTGTCAGCAGCTCTCTTCAGAAATGTTAAAATCAGGAACTTCTGTGTACTAGAGTTTTTTTTCTGACGCTTCAGAAATCACAGAACAAGTGATATCAATATGTTTAGCATGAAAGATCAAAACCTCTTTTAAGTTTCAGCCCATTTTCACGGTCCATATAAGTGACATATCCGTATCCGATTAACTGTACAGTGCATACTTTTAGGTTAATTTAATTAGCTTACTTCCATTCATCCATTGACAAATTGCCAGCAAAACCTTTATATAAAAAACGCTCATCTACACATAAGATGACATTAAAAGCCCAAACTTTCAGAAACAAGAGCTCAAGTCTATAGTTAACCTTATAGCTAGCCTTACGGTTGAGATGCTAACAGACTTTTTCCGAAGACACTAAACCATTTCTATAAAGTAGATATTCTTTTTAAACGCATGAATATTCGTACACATTACACATGTATCATGAGTAACAATTTGTAATTTTTATGTTTTATGTATTTTTAAAATATATTTCAATATATTCAACAGTGCTTCAGATATGTCAAATGTCTAATCTATTTCTTCACTTGCTACATTGTTCATGGCTATATTAGGGCTATATGTGGTCCGAAATAAAATTAGTGAAAACAACAGTGAGAGACGGGAGTTGCTGCTGACAGTTGAGCTGCCGCCCCGTTTCCATGGTTACTTCCTCTGCTCCAGTTCAGCGCGAGCGCCCATTAAAGCACGTAGAAGTCACGCAGAATTTATGTAAATATAATAGAAATGGTAAACGTGTTGTAGAAATAACATTGATTTTTTTTAAATGCATGAATATTCGTACACATTACACATGTATCATGAGGAACAATTTTTTATATTTATGTTTTATGTATTTTTAAAATATATTTCAATATATTCAGCAGTGCTTCAGATATGTCAAATGTCTAATCTATTTCTTCACTTGCTACATTTATGCTCATGGCTATATTAGGGCTATGTGGTCCGAAATAAACGTGCTACTGCTAAATTTGGACTAAATTAGACGGACCAAACAAAGCCCAGTTTTCAACATCTATTTTGAACTAAATTTGGACCAAATCAGATGGACAAAACAAAGCCCAATTTTCAACGTCACTTTTTGGGCTAAATTTGTACCAAATACGACGGACCAAACAAAGACCAATTTTCAACGTCGCTTTTTGGGCTAAAAGAAGTCCATGACGGGCCGACTTGATTTAGCCCAAAAAACGACGTCCAAATGACCTCTGGTGCTGGGTGGGTGCTTTCACAAATGCGGAGTCTACCCTTATTCGTTCATCATTAATTAGCTTCTTCTGTACGGCAAGAGCAGCAAATAAAGCATAAAGCTTTGTCCGTATCCTTTATATAATGAAGCCATTTCCACCTCAAAAAACAGCCTGCTTTAAAGCTTCTAACCAAGGTTTCATTTCCAAAGCGCCTCGTTGGAAAATCATAATTCATTGGCTGAAACGGTTCATTTTCTACACCTTTAGCTGGCTCTAGCTCTGTGATTATGTTATCTGAAGGGGAGTCCGGAGGAGAGATATGCAGGAGCTGATCAATCTCGGGGGTTGGGCTGCTAGGTCCGCTAGGCTTACTTGTCTTTGTGCTCATGCTGGAGCTGGTTCCCTTGCTTACGTCGGTGCTCGTGCTGGGACTGGTGTGGATGCCAATTTTAGAAAGTTTTTGCAGGGATGGGCATTTAAAACCGTTTCAGCTGAAGAAAGGTTTGTGGTTTTAAAACCGCTTCAGCTGAAGAAAAGTTTGTGGTTTTAAAAACGGTTTCGGCTGAAGAAAGGTGGTTTGTGGTTTTAAAACCGCTTCAGCTGAAGAAAGGTTTGTGGTTTTAAAACCGCTTCAGCTGAAGAAAGGTTTGTGGTTTTAAAACCGCTTCAGCTGAAGAAAAGTTTGTGGTTTTAAAAACGGTTTCGGCTGAAGAAAGGTTGTTTGTGGTTTTAAAACCGCTTCAGCTGAAGAAAGGTTTGTGGTTTTAAAACCGCTTCAGATGAAGAAAGGTTTGTGGTTTTAAAACCGTTTCAGCTGAAGAAAGGTTTGTGGTTTTAAAAACGGTTTCAGCTGAAGAAAGGTTTGTGGTTTTAAAACGGTTTCAGCTGAAGAAAGGTTGTTTGTGGTTTTTCAGCTGAAGAAAGGTTGTTTGTGGTTTTAAAAACGGTTTCAGCTGAAGAAAGGTTTGTGGTTTTAAAATGGTTTCAGCTGAAGAAAGGTTTGTGGTTTTAAAATTTTAAAGTGTTCTAATTAATACAACGCGTTCAGTATACTTTATAGTTTTTACAAGAGATGTAAAGTTAATTAATTATTATCAAATGTAGCACTTTACATAACATTAATGAATGTTATTTTGTGTAAATAAAGCGCATTCAGGCATTAGTAACAGAAACGGTGCAGTGTTGCCAATTTGGGGATTTTGTTGCCAAATTTAGCGACTTTAAGTTCTTTGAAGATCGCGAAGTTTCAACTGAAGTGTTTGAGTTTTAGATGACGGATCGCTTTGATGGTAAGCGTGTGAGCAGTTGGAGTGCTCATAACACGGCGAAACGCGAAGAGCAAGCCAGCCAGTGAGTCTGTCTTGCATTGGGTTTTTGATCCGCGGCAAGTCCGTCCCACAGCGCGATCTTCCAATCGACTTCTTGCAAGGCGGAGCGTGCATACATTAACATGAGTCTTCAATTCATCACATGAGAAAAATCATTGCGAAGACTTGGTTGATACTTTTATAAAGTTTACTAATGCGAGTCTTGTACATACTATTAAAGTTTACTTCATTTCAACATTCTGCATTTGTCGTGCCCATTCGTTCAAGATTAAACTTCACATATTACACACATTTTAATAACCTTAT